TCTTATATAACTAAAAAAATCAGATTATGGCAGAATAAATAAAAGATAATTACCAAATATAAACATAGTAAATCAAGTTAGGCAAAAAAAAAACTTCGAAATCATATCTGATGCACCAACTCAACGAGTTGGAGGACCAAACTCGACGAGTATCAAGAACAACTCGACGAGTTCATTGAACAAAATGTCGATTATGTTCCCTTCTCCTTTTAACAACTCACAATTATATCATATTCAATAGAAAACTAATCCTAGGCTCTGATACCACTGATGGGTTTTGAGCAAAACATACAATCCTATGTGTGCATGCAACCCTAAATTGATTTGATCTAAGTTTTCTTTAAATGAACATGCAAACTTGAACAACAAAGAAGAAACCCTAGGTTCTATGTATTGTAATCAAAATTCACATAATAAAGAGTTATAATACATACCTTTAAGATTGTTATTGTAAACAATCTTGAATCCTTGCTTGAAAGACCTTTGGTAGCAAGCGACACAAGTGTCGCGCCTCTAATGGCTCACAAACAAACCAAACAACCAAAGAATAACATAAAGAGAGAGAGAGAGAATAATTTCGTCCAAGGCTCTAGAAAAGAAGGCATTCACGAAATTCAACCCTAATGAGGGTTTATATAGGTGTTAGGAAGGTATTGGATTAGGCAAATATATATTCAAGATAACCCTAATCTCTTAACTTCCTCCCTAAGGCATCCAAGACACCCTTAGAGCCCAAGGAACACCCTAGAATTCCCCCCCCCCCCCTAGGGAGGTTCTAGAATGGTCAATTTTCAACTATTAAACATTGTCACCTTTATTCCTTGCAATTTCAATTAATTCATTTAATTCCAAATTAATTTTTGATCGAATATTAATTAAACAACATGATTTCTAATTAATATATTATTTCCATAATACATTAATAAATCATTTATTTTAATTTCTAATTAATTTATTAACCAAGTAATAAATTAATAAGTCATTATTCTCTCATTAACAGATATCATATTCAATTGCGAGGTTTAAAGGCAACCCAAAAGGACATTGCTATTATCAATTCAAGTACATATAAATTATTGTTATGGGCTTAGACATCAATCCAACATTTTCCACCTAACACTTAATGCTTTGAAACAAATGTAAAACCTGTGAAAATAATTCTTTCCATATGGATTGGTTGTTCCACCAACTTAACATGTGGACCCTAGGTTAGACGTTAATAATTCATGGGCATAATCTTATATCCTTCCATAAAGCTCAGTAAGTTGGCCTTCTATTAAATTTTGGCCCATTTCCTTGCCCTTCTAACTTGTCATATAGATATCACACACATATACCTTTGACTGATGTCATCAATCATTTCCTGAAGTTTCATCTTTGGCTTATTTGCAATTTCAGTCACATAATGTCTTCCAATCCATTCAGGGGAATCAATGAATCCAAACTTAAACTGCCTAGAACATTTATGGTCACCATTCATAGCTTTGATTTGAAAAGATCTTTCCTTTTACATCCATGCACATAAATTCTGAAAGGGCATTTACTCTCCTCCTTCCTCTTGTTACATCTAGCTATAATTCTTTTACTATCACATTTTTCAAAGTATATTTTATAACCATGTGACACTACTTAATTGGTGACACAAAACTTCAGCCGAGCAGGGGATTCAAAGATGTCACCAAGCTTTGGTACCATCTTGTCCCACTTGATGGTTGGGTCATCAGTTCTATAGTTGTTTTTCAATACATCATGTTCGTCTTCATCACTCTGCCAATCAGTAACATGGTACACTTATGCTCTGATTTCATATGCCATACTAGAATTTCGTAGGTTTTCATCACTTAATAGAACATTTAGGAAGATATCCTTACATTTATCAAGTGAGGACACAAATTCTTCCTCTGGTTCGTGGTCCGTGTAAATGTTGTGGAGTTCAAAATCCATTTCACTCAAGCCAGAAATGGCTCATGTATGCCAACAAAGGGGTCAGCGTACCCTTCGTATGATGAAGCCATTACACCCTGCTGCATAGACACACTAAGTTTACGAACCCATTTCAAGAAATGTTATGAAAACATAACAAGATCATGACATGTAAAAACCTTACCTTTCGAAGAACACTTTTACCCTAATTGTCTCCAAGAAAACCCTCTTTTTTCTCTGTGTATACAAAATTTCAGTCGGTGAAATGGGAAATGTGAAAAGTGATCGGGATATAAAAGGAGGATGAGGATGCGACAGTTTAACGTCCGTAACGGACTTGGAGCTTTCTCCCAAACGACGTTAATGAGCCTTCCAACTAAGCAAGTGGTAACCGGTTAACTAAAGAGAAACCGGTTAATAAGCAAAAACGACGCATTAAATGCAAGTTTGAGGCAAAAACGAACATAAATTTGAACTTTAGGCAAATCCGTCAATTTTGTGCAAATTTGAGATTTTTTTATGCCATTAACCCTATCTCTACGTGAAGCTCTTATATAATATATTATAATAAGTTTAATATGTAAATATTCTACGACTTATCTTATTTAGTACACATTTTATTAAAAAGAGAAGAAATGCTACTCCTTAATTTTGAACTCGTGGCCCAAGGAAGAGAGTCACTTACTCTAGTACTCTACCACTGAGCCAAGACGTTTTAGATTGTAAAAATACTAAAATGTAAATCTTCACTTATATAATATATCATAATAAGGTTTATTGAACTTTAAAGGAAAAAACTAAAATAGAATGGATGAGAAGCAAACTTGAACTTGGGTCTCTCGCTAATTGGTGAGGGTTTTAGCCTTCTAATTGAAATTAATACCATCATTTTTGTATATAATGTATACCCTTCAAAACGTACTTTAGCCTCTTTAGTAAACATACATATTATTTACATATTAAGATGTATAAATAAATTTAAACCGTATGTTTATATTTAAAACTATATTTAATATGTATTTATATGTAAAGTTATAGCTTTAAATATTAAAATACAGGTTTAAATGCAAATATAAATATTTATATGCAAAAATTAATGTTTGCGATTGACCTTCACGTGGACCTTAGAACGGGTTAATGTTGGCCATTTAGATGGTCGGGTTCAACTTTTTGTTAAATACATATGAATAGTATAGATTATATACAATATGATGATATTAATTTCAAACATATATATATATATATTATATATATATATATATATATATATATATATATATATATATATATATATATGGAAAAGTGAATATACCCTTAAGGGTATATAAGCTTAGGTACCCAAACACATCATAATACATTGTTTTGTTTGATATATTCATTATAATGTTCTTAAACATGAACCTCTAACTTGATTTACTGTCAAGATTTTTGAAATTCACTATTATCTTTCTCTTATATCACATCTTTTTGTCGAACACATATTAGACTACATATATTGTAGTTGAAAATGAAAATTATGTAAGATGAAGATAAATGTGTAATTTATAAAAATTATGGAAATAAATCAAGTTAGAAGTTATATTATAAGAACTTTAGACAATTAGAATGTATTATATAATACAAAACAACGTAGTATGGTGCGTTTGGGTACCTAAACTTATATACCCTTAAGGGTATATTCACTTTTCTCATATATATATATATATATATATATATATATATATATATATATATATAATATATATATATATATATATATATAATGGTATTTTTTGATAAAATTAAATTATGTTAAAAAAAAATTCACCTATAGAAAATATAAAAAATCTTAAATTTGCTACCATAATAAGTCATGAACTCTTATATTTTTATGGAAAGATATTATTATATCAACAACACTCAAGCTCTACAATCAAATGACATTGAACACATTATACAAAATAAACCTGAATTTCATGAACCAAGCATTGATAAAAACTACAAACATGCTAAAATAATGGAAGCCACTTTTGGGCTTTAATTGTCTACTTGTCCCCATCAATTTTGAAAATATACTATTTTTTTTTAATAACAGAAAATTACATAAGCAAGGAGCTTAAAGCAAACATTAGATGCATACAATCTAAGTTACATATTTTCTCTGTTTTCAGCTGTGAATCGAGATTGAGGAGTCATTTCATTGGATTACTCATCCATATCTAATTAAAGATATTCATCTGACCATCTTTTCTTAAAGTTGCACAAAATGAACCTTTTTTTTTTTACTAAAATAATATACAAAACATTTTTTTTTTCTTCATATTCGGGTTATAAGATATCCACCCCGGATAAATCTGATCCGCTGGATATATGAAAACTTGAAACCATATTTCGGGGTCGGGTTTATATCAGTAAAAAAAATATCCGATAATTTCTATCCAAAATCTAGAAAATTCAAGAAAAGCTAGATCGATCCGAAATCCAATAATTTATTTATTCCAATTCCAAAAACGCAAACCAGATTATTTAAAATCCAATATGGGGAAAACTGGCTCTGTCCGATTGGGATAAAATCCCGGTTTTGTGCGCCTCATCCTGTCCTTAAATATTTTTTTCTTGTATTTTTGAAAAGTGTTAAATACACAAAATATCAATTTACTTGGGTTAATTGGAATATGTTTTTCTCTAGTCGTTCTTGGTAACATACTTCAAGGCTTTAAAAGATAAAACTTAAAATAATTTACGTTGAAAAAAAAAAACCAAAAACCCTCAAGTGGACAAAAGCTTTCGTTGAAATCAATGTTACCTTGTGATGATTGTGATCATGTCACCTTTGTAGAAACGACTAATACCCTTTAAGCTGCCCAACTGCCCACAATGCCCCCTTTTCACCCATTAAATCAAATACTGTTTACTGCAAAAAGATTATTTTTCTAGAAGCCCAAAAACCCGAGTCCACAAATATAATTCGACAGATAATGGGCTTTTATAAGGGCCTGTTACCGACAAAAGCCCAATTCATACTGAAAGATACACAATAGTCAGGACTCAGGTGCTAGCATTAAAGCATTAAAGCCCACATTGAGCCCTCTAGACTCTAGGAGTAAATGAGTAATTGATTATTTGTGATTTGTCACCAAACCAAATAAATTAATAAAAAGAACCCGATATTTAATAGTGTGATCCTTCCACAATTTATCATCAAAACCTCATTGAATACACCTGACATAACTAACCCTTAGCAAACATCCAGACCAAAATTATAACAGAAAATCTACACGATTCAGAAAACAGTGATTTTAAGCCACTTATGAACACTAGTATTGTTTCATACCTACAAATATTCACATAAATGAAGATCGTATAACATATATAGAGATATAGAGATATAGATATGACTACAAACAAACACAGAACCCAAAACAACCCCCTTGCAACACCATCCACCACTAAGGCAACTCTTTTTTGTCACTTTTCATCCCATTACCAATTTACCATACATACATAAACCGAAACATACCCTCATCAACCCATACACCATTGAAGCACCATTGAAGGTAAGTAACATTTTGCACCATCGAACCTCATAATCATATACATGCTGTGAACAAAATTGTGTGTTTTGTTTTCCCTGTGCCTTGAATCATAAAGTTTATCGCCTTTTATGCAGCCATGAAAGCTGAGACACAAAAAAGAACATCAACATGAGAATACTGTATCTGTATCAGTATCAAACAAGTTATAAGTATACAAATTTCATGGTGAGTAATACCTCTCAGAAGGAATTCATCTCAAGGCAATAAGTTCGCCTCTTAACCAACATTCTTGCAGCAGTTCCATAAGGCTCTTCAAAAGCAGATGAAACCCATGATCCATCAGAAACTTCCTTCTGTGTTGTTGATTGCTCACTAGGCCTAATTGCTACTAATGTAGCCCCTTTGAGCACAGTCCCATTAGGTAGTTCCAGAAATGGAGCATACCAAAGCTTCATGTTCAAAGCTGGGACTAGAGTTCTTTTTGAAGCTGAAGAAGCTGATAACGGCTTCACCCTCAGTTCTTCTAATTGTTCCTTGTTCATACACAAGACACCTTGTCTATCTGCATCTGTCAAAACCAAGGAATCTAATGTCTTATGCTCTGCGATTATAGGTTGAAGCAAGTAGTGCCTTGCTGATGCTGCGATCAGTGAGCTTATCGTCCATACTACCCTTAATTTCAATCCACCATTGGTGTAAAACGATTCCGGTATGCTTCCATTATCTTCAGTTACAGCCCCAGCTCCACATACTCGATCGTAATTGGTTTCGCTGGATGTAAAATTCTGGGTGGGGTGAATCACGGAGGATGCGCCGAGCATGACGCAATTATCAAGGGTGGATCCGAAATCCGCCCTCCATTTCAACAGTACATCGTCTTCGATACCTAATTCGCCGCTTGGAAGTTCGATTTTAAGGAACCGAATCTCTTCGAAGTTTTTGAGAACTTGAGTGGGAGAATGGTGCGTAACTCCACCTCCATGTTCAAGATCATCATCAGCATCAACGTTGTTACCGACAGATAAGGAGGATGAAGATCTCTTGGGACCCAAAAAGTTTCCAAGAGCTTGGATGGGCTTAACGATTCCACCAAAGACGAGACGAACAAGACTGGAAAAGGGCCCACGAGATTTATCGGAGGCACCGGAGGCGGAGGTGGCATCGTCGTCGGAGATAACACAGTCGACACGAACAACAACGTTTTCGACCTGTGGAACAAGGGTATGAAATCGCTTGGAAACAACGCAACAACGACCTAAAGCCTTGACATCACCGATCTTGTTGAAGACCAAGAGGAGGAGAGAGTCCGGTAGATGGTCGAAAAGGTCGAGTGGTTCCTCCTCCGTGTAGGGGTAGATTTTGGTGGTGAGATCTGGGCGTAGAGAAGACATCATAGCTATCTAACAAGAAGAATTGAGAAGGAAAAGGAAAAGGGATCTGGGATTTGAAGAATCGAAAGTATAGAGGATTGGAATGAAAGGGTGAGGGAGGATCTGGTGATGGTGGCAAAGTGTAAGGCGCATTGAATAGAAAAGAAGAGAGAGAGAAATGGTGGAGGAGATGAAGAGAGAGAGGGAGGGAGAGATATTGATTTGTGCGTGTACGGGGGATAAAGATGGAGAGAGAGCTGATTCCCATCAATAAATATCTCTATAATTTCTTGACTTACGGGTCGGGGCAGGATATCTTTTTATGCATATGATAAAATGGGTTGGGTTTTAGTTACACCCGTTATGTTATATATATATATATATATATATATATATATATATATATATATATATATATATATATATATATATATATATATATATTCAAGTTCATTTGAGACCATTCTAATTTTGTGAGACCGTAAGATCAAATCTAAAAATAATTTTAAAATGCAAAATAAATGGAAAAATCCAAAAAAAAAAAATTTAAATATTATTTTCGGAACTTGAATTAACTAAAAAAAATATATAAAAAAATTAAAAAAATTAAAAAAAATTCCGTTTTTTTTTTTTTGAAAAATACGTGAAATATTCTAAATAAAATATTACATTGACATATTCTAAAAAATAATTTTAAAATGTAAAATAAATGGAAAAATCTAAAAATTCTTTTTTTAAATATTATTTTCGGAACTTGAATTAACTAAAAAAAATATATAAAAAAATTAAAAAAAATAAAAAAAATTCCGTTTTTTTTTTTTGAAAAATACGTGAAATATTCTAAATAAAATATTACATTGACATATTCTAAAAAATAATTTTAAAATGCAAAATAAATGGAAAAATCTAAAAATTCTTTTTTTAAATATTATTTTCGGAACTTGAATTAACTAAAAAAAATTTAAAAAAAATAAAAAAAATTCTATTTTTTTTGAAAAATACGTGAAATATTCTAAATAAAATATTACACTGTACATATTCTAAAAATAATTTTAAAATGCAAAATAAATGGAAAAATCAAAAATTTCTTTTTTTAAATATTATTTTCGGAACATGCATTAACTAAATAAAATTAAAAAAATTAAAAAAATACGTCTCACGGTCTCACAAAATATATATATATATATATATATATATATATATATATATATATATATATATATATATATATATATGTATATAAAATTTTAGTTTCATATGAGACGGTTTAATTTTATGAGACCGTAACACGCAGTCATAGCCATTTATTTTGTAGATAAAAAAAATATTTTTAAAATGCAAATTAATTAAAAAGTTTTAAAATTGTTTAAATATTATTTTGGTTATTTATATTTTCCAAAAAAAAATACTGTTTTTTATATATATTTTACTAGAATATTAGAATATTTTACATATTTGATAAATTTATTAGAATATTCTAACATTCTAAAAATCACATTAGAATATTTACAGTGTAATAGTCTATTAGAATATTTTGCGTATTTAAAAAAAAACAGTAACTTTTTTTATTTTTATTTTAAAGTTATTTTTTGATTGCGTACCACGGTCTCATAAAATCAGTATGTCTCAAATGAACCTATATATATATATATATATATATATATATATATATATATATATATATAGTATGTGTTTTATTAAAATAAAGTAATCATTTACATGGGTAAGAGGATTGATAGGAACAAAATGTATGAAAATATTTAATTTCTCATATTAAAATTAACTGGTTTAGGACTAATATATTTTATGATTTTATATTTTTAACTATACAAAAATGTATTTTATATTTTGGTCCAAAGGACCTTAATAATAAGTTTAAAATATTGGTATCTTTGGTCCTTTTTTTATATAGATTCAATTACATCAGAGTATTTAAAATATTCAATTACATCATCGTATAATGCGAAAAACATGATTGTGAATGCGCATGATATAGTCGAACATTGCCCTTCTCACAAACAATTGAATTGTCTGAAAAACATTTGTAACAACTGGATAAATGCTAACCTTAGTGAGTCCCCCAATATATCATATATCGCAATACACATACATGGATACAAACAATATATGTCTTTTAGACTTACGACCTACACACCATTTTGTCTTCAACATGAGTATACATGTACTTACGGTCTACATGTCATTTCGTTAACATATATCAATGTGTACTTACG